AATCTTTTCCAACCAGTCCTAGGGCTCCAACTACAACAGGGATTGTTGATGTTCCCATATGCCACATTTTCGAGATTTCTATTTCAATTATTATTATTATTATTATCATCATCATTATTATTATTGCATAAACGTTATATTATGTAGATATTCGTCTTTGAGTAGACGCTCCGTATATTTATTAAACACTATATTTATTTATTTTTGTCTACCGGCCTGAATATTCGAGAAATCTTATTAGAATTTGTGAATTTGAATCTGAAGGAGATAGAATGATAGAGAATTAAAAAAGAAAGAAATTTGCAGTGACGAAGCGAGTCGGTAAAGTTATGAGGAACGGTGTACGCAAATTAATTAATTAAAGAAATTAAATAAATTAAAGGAAGAAAGAAAGAATTAACAAATAAAAAAATGTCAAATGCAAGAGAAAGATTCTTGAAAAGTTAAGAGAACCTGATGAAGACACAGAAGCGCCGAACTCTCGTTAACTCTCGTTAACTCTCGTTTAGACGAGACTGTGACAATAATCCAGCCATTAAACTCAACCCCTAACATCACCTGTCCCTTCTTCTTTTTCACTCGACGCGTCGCATGTGTTCACTTCGTTTCATCAATATTGAACCGAACCAGTCTGTCACACAGGCCCGACTCCATACCTCCTTTCTTTCTTTGTGGTCAACGCTGTTATTGCACCCATTAGTAAAATGGCTGCTATTAGTAAGATTGTAGCCGCTTCACTCGGAAAGAAAAAAAAAACTATTTATTAATAAAGAGTTTTGAACAAATCCTGTAGAAGCCGAAGTGATGGCGGATAATGAGGTTATTATTGAACTGAAAGAACAATTAAATCAGATAAATTCAGAATTGCTTAGATATTTATATCTATTATGGCTTTCGGAACATTTTCTTCCTTGGTGTTGCGTTAACTTTATCATTCCTTCTTTCTTTTTGACTGAAATAAAGATGCGAATAAAAAGTTAACAGCTTTCATCTATTTTCTTTCTTTTATCTTCTTTTATTTCTTCACAATTCTTCTTGTTCAATCGTTTTAGTTCTATTTCTTATAATTCGGCTGACTACAAATGTCCTTCTTTCTTTCATTATTTGATATTTATTTATCTTTTTTTTTGTTTTTTGATTACATTCTTACTTTTTTTTCTCTTCTTTCTTTTATTAATAATTTCTTTCATTTATTCTTTCATTCACATTTTCATTTTTCTTTGTTTTAATATTACTTTATTTCGTTTTTCTTTATCTGTTAATTTTTTTTTTTTTCGATTTCATTCTTTCATTCTATTTACAGTGTAACCCGAATATAAGAGACCCGGATATAAGAGAAACACGGATATAAGAAAGATTTTCTCTGGTCCCAAATTAGAGCCTGTGTTAATGTATATAAAATAGACCAAACCCGGATATAAGAGAAACCCGGATATAAGAGACTTCTTCTCCGGTCCCGACAACTCTCTTATATCCGGGTTACACTGTATTTATCTATTTTCCGGTTTCATTCATACATTTTTCTTTCTTTCTTTTTATTTCTTTTTTTATCTATTTTCCGATTTCTTTCTTTCTTTCTTTTATCCATTCTTTCATCCTTTCGTTAATTATGACTTTCTTTTTTTTCATTCATTCATATTTTCTTTCAATTTATCCTTTTTTAATATCTCTTTCTTTTTTCTCATTTATTTATATACTTTTACGATTTCATTCTTCTTTCTTTCATTTTTTTTCGCGGTTTCATTTATTCTTTCTTTCTTTCTTCCTTCCTTCCTTTCTTTCTTTCTTTCTTTCTTTCTTTCAGTCATTCATTTATTGTTTCTTTCTTTCTTCTATATCTTTGTCTTCAAAGCATCTTTCTTTCTTTTTCCTTTCTTGCTCCCGCTTTCTGTCTGTCTGTCTGTCTGTCTGTCTTTCTTTCTTTCTTTCTTTCTTTTTTCATTCATTCAATCAATCACTCATTATTTCTTTCTTTCATTTTTCTTTCTTTTTTCATTCATTCAATCAATCACTCATTATTTCTATCTTTCTTTTTTCTTTCTTTTTTCATTCATTCACTCAATCACTCATTATTTCTTTCTTTCATTTTTCTTTCTTTTTTCATTCATTCAATCAATCACTCATTATTTCTTTCTTTCTTTTTTCTTTCTTTTTTCATTCATTCGATCAATCACTCATTATTTCTTTCTTTCTTTTTTCTTTCTTTTTTCATTCATTCAATCAATCACTCATTATTTCTTTTCTTTCTTTTTCTTTCTTTTTTCATTCATTCAATCAATCACTCATTATTTCTTTTCTTTTTCTTTCTTTTTCATTCATTCAATCAATCACTCATTATTTCTTTCTTTCTTTTTTCTTTCTTTTTTCATTCATTCGATCAATCACTCATTCTTTCTTTCTTTCTTTCTTTCTTTCTTTCTTTCTTTCTTCTATTCTTTTGTTTTCAAAGCTTTTTATTTATTTAATCCTGCTTTGGTTTTGTTATGTCAGTTTTACTTGAATAAAAAAGTGAAAAATCGATAAATTAAAAAAAAATCAACAAATAAACGCCTTCATCTGTGAAAACGCGACGTTTCAAAAAGAAAGATGAAAATCCGTCAGAACGGAATATATTTATAGATTTAAAATATTATCAACAAAAAATATTATTTCTAATGATTTACAAGCGACGAACCAATAAGATATCATTTAATTGATAATCAAATTTTTCAAGCAAAAAAAAAAAAAAAAAAGTTAAGAAAAATAGATATTAGGTTGGTGCAAAAATAATGACGTAATGATGTATTTTGACGTTAAAAATACGTCCAAAAACGACATTATTACGTCATTATTTTTGCACCAACCTAATATATTATAAACATAAAAAAATTCGTTAACTAGTCAGATAGTCACAATCTTCTTCTTTTCTGTGCCCTGTCTCTTCAAGACGGACGTAGGCGATCATGGCTCTCCACTTCACCCTATACCTTGTAGCTCTCAATATGTTTTGTCCTTTTGATATTTCTCCCAGACCCTGTTCTGTCATCCACTTACTTAAGCCAACGAGGTATGTCATGCATTGCTTTTCCTTGTCTCTCTTTCTCACTATCCGCCCTGTGTGTATCAGATTCTCCAAGCCTTCATTTCTCATTACGTGTCTCAGAAATTTTAACTGCCCCTTTCTGATGTTAAGTACAAGCTACCTCCTTGTCTGCATCCTCTCCAAAACGTCATTGTTGCTCAGACGCTCGGTTCATGTTATCCTCAGCATCCTTCTGTAGAACCATACCTCCGTTGCCTCGAGTCTCTTCTTCATCTTTGAGGAGACCGTCGGACATTCGCTGCCGTAAAGAAGGACAGTTGTCACATAGCAGTTTAGGACTCCTTTCTTTGTTACCAACGAAATCCTTCTGTCTCGTAATATTCTACCTTGCTTTTGAGATGATCGTATTTGAAATATTTATGATAAATATACATAGATATTTGTTGAGTTGAAAAATACTTGGCACCTTGAGCATTGTTTATCATGACATAAGATTATAGAGCATTTATCGATAGAAAAGTCATTCATATTGCTCTAATATTTAGGCATTGAGCACTTTTGTTTTAAAAATCGATCTTATTTCAATCGAAACATTCTTACTGTTTGTATATATGATAGCTGGCAACTTGTATTCGAGGATACGCGTCTCTTAGAGCGACTAGCCAATCCCTATTACAGATTCTCACTCAGCCACATTTGTTTTTGATGAACACCCACAGAGCCAACCCGTGGTTTATACTGCAACTATGGGAGTGAGCGTATTATCTAGCATGATCAACAATCTGAACAAAGACAGCACAATCAAACCCTCGGTCCCGATGACTTGTGATTTCCTGCTAGTACAGCTATCGACGGACACCAAGGATTCTGTCTACCCAATTTCACTCGTGGTATGGTTTTTCAGGCACTTTCCAAGACTGAGATCGTCCCCACTTCAATCCGATAACATCCCGGATCTCATGGTCTGAGTGCGAACGTTCTAATCACTCAGGAACAGGCTTATTTGTGCTTGTGTGATTGTGCATGCATATATATATATATATATATATATATATATATAAACTTACGAAAAATTTGGTAATCCGTATGGGTAATCGCAAGGAGGATGAAATCCTGAGAGCTCAATGTAAATTCAGAGTTAATAATTTAAAGAAAAATAGACCACAGTTCATTGTAATAGTTTATTTCTCTGAAATAAACTATTACAATGGAGCCTTAAAGTGGTCTGTTTTTCTTTTTAAATATACACACACACACACACACACACACACACACACACATATATATATATATATATATATATATATATATATATATATATATCCGATATTTTTAAAAGACATTTTATGCTTAACATTCTATTTATAGATACATATTATTATAAACAGAGCATTTACTTAAATATTTGTATCTATAAAAAGAATGTTAAACATAAAAATGTCTTCATATATATATATATATATATATATATATATATATGTTTGGCTTGACACAGATAACCAATTTTATATACGTTTGGCTTGACACAGATAACCAATTTTATATATATATATATATATATATATATATATATATATATATATATATATATGAACATTCTGGTTTGACACAGATAACCAACTTTATATATATATATATATATATATATATATATATATATATATATATATATATATAAAGTTGGTTCTATGTCACGTCAAAAGTTTTTTCTCGCCTGAGTCCATCTTTCAAATCTACCGTTCATCCAATCATTGACTAGTGTTGCTATATATTGACCGGTGCCCTCGCTGTTCATCTCGAGGTTCTCGACAAAATCCAAAGAGGGATATGCAACTTGATAGGTCCTGACCTGGCATCTCGACTCCAATCACTTTCTCACACACGAGATGTGGCTTCCCTCTGTCATTTCTACAAATATCTTAATGCAACTGCTCTGACGAGCTATTTTCACTGGTGCCTCAACTTATATGAATTTAAGCGTGCTACTAGGTTGGCATCTCGGTCCCACCATTTTACCGTCGGAACGGTTAAATATAACCGTCTCTTCTACTCCAACAGCTTCTTCTCTCGTACTTCCCGACATTGAAACTCGCTTCCTCTTACTCGCTTCCCTGATAACTATAATCTTTAAATAGTCAAATATAATGTCAATCGACATTTTCTGATGCCTTGAACCTGATAACTGTTCTTCTCTTTATTATTTTCTCACACACACCCTCTTCATTCTTGCTTTCCTTCTCTCTAACCCTTTGAGCGATAGTGGCTCTCTCGCCTTCCTTGGGGTGCAATGCTTAAAAAAATATGGCTTCCAAATTAGTGAGCTTGGCATAACAGGTAATGGGAAGGATGAAAAAAAATAAACCATTGTTAAAGCTACAAAGGATAGGAAGGTGTGGAGGGTCATGTTTGCGTACGTCATAAAGGGAGAAGAAACACCAATGTAAAAGGAATAAATATTTCACATTGTTTCTCTCTCTCTCTCTCCCTCTCTCTGTCCGTATATATGTATGTATATGTTTGTGTTAATACATGTATCTGTGTATATCGATGTTAACGTCAATTACGTATACGTACACACATTCACACAAACACGCAGGCGCACACATATATCCTTAATGTGAATATATATATATATATATATATATATATATATATATATTTAGTATTTAGACTTACAGACAATACTCCAATTACCGATGGATTACTTTCTAAATGGTTCCTCTAAAGTGCAATCGAAGGTCATGTATCATTTTAAATCCCCTTCCTTCTTCCAGGGAATAGAAAAAGAGCCCCAAACCTTTCGAGTGTCTGTGACATTAATAGCTTCTTTGAAGGGTCAATTTATCCATTATTGCCGAAAAACGGGTCATTAAGTCACTCACACATATGGACAGTTGTAAAACACACTTCCTAAATACATAGATAAACATACACGCACGCAAATACAAACACACACGTACACCAACACACGTCTATATATAGTGTGCCTGAAATCCTTAAGATATTTAATTATTTTAGTATAAAATTCATTCAACGATTTTATGTCCACACACGCACGCAACACAATTACACGCGTATATCCGTGTCCATAAAATAAAAGTTTTCTTCGGGTTAATTTCATTTTGAAAGCAGGGAATGGTTTCACGTTCACACACATATAAATGAATATACAGGCCCTTAGGTATATATATTTATATATATATATATATATATATATATATATATATATATATAAGAAAAATATAGTCTTAAGAGATGCAATATTTATGGAATAAAGTGCTCAATATCAGTGAGAGAGAGAACGTGTGTAAATATAAAAGTGAACATAGAAGTCAACACTTAGAGGTGACAGTCTGTTTCATGCTAGATGCAATCGTCAGGCCAACTAACGACTTCAAATTCAAATATAGAAATAAATTAAAAGCACTAGTTCTGTTTCATTTTCTGGCGAATTTTGATTAATGAATTTTGGAATTTACTGAGTTTTATAAGCACATAAATTCATAATATTTGTTTCTAAGGATACAGATAAATCCAATCATTTAGACGGGGTGCGCAGCGTTTTCATATTTATTAATGATATAATAGTTGTTAACATTAATATAGTTGTTAATATATCAACATGAATATGTAACAGAACTATATATATATATATAAATTAACTGATTTAAAAATATGGCTCCATCGCTACACACACGCAAACACACGCAAACACACACACACACACACACACACACACACACACACACACACACACACACATATATACACACATCACGACGACGACCCCCCCACTCCCATAATAACACCAATACACGAAATCTACATAAACCCAATTTTTAAAAAAATTAATCAGTTTGTCTGACGATCGCAAAAGCGTGAAACTCAGGGTCACAAACTCACATCAATCCAACCAAATATATATATATATATATATATATATATATATATATATATATGTTATAAATTAACTGATTTAAAAATGTTTCCATCGCTATATATTTGAATATATGTGTATATATATATATATATATATTATATATTTATATATATGTATATATATAAATATATATATATATATATATATATATATATATATATATATATATATATATATATATATATATATATATATATGTGTGTGTGTGTGTGTGTTAGGTTGCCACATATTAAATGACGCATTTTGGGGATTGGTTGTTGATTCGATCGTCTAACGGAGTAACTGCCTTAGTATATAAAAAAAAATCTTGACTTATTCCTGATTTTTTTCCAGATAATTTTCCTTTCAATATATTGTTACTCATAAGCCGAATGAAAATAATTACAATGAAACAATGTCGAATAATCTTACTGTATGAATGTAAATAGGGGAAAGGAACCATTATTGCATCGAATCATTACAAGCGATGACAAATGGAAACTCCTTGACACATGGAAACTCCTTGACAAATGGAAACTCCTTCACACATGGAAACTCC